AGCCTGGGGAATTCTGGGAGTTGAAGTCCACCCGTCTTAAAGTTGATGAGGTTGAGGAACCCCGGCGTAATCAATAGGATACGTGACAAATATTCCATCAACCAGTGCAAGTCATAATAGTTACAGGACACTTCCACATTCAGGCTTGTATTTATTAATCATACTTAGCAGTAACATGTTTTGTTTATTTGTGGATTAACACACCATGTAAAGCTAGTCTTGCAATTTACAAACTATTAGGATATTGTATGAACCCAGTTGACTGCAGCTTTTCAAGCAAGTTTTGACTTACCATAATAAACCTAGTGATACAGTCATCATACCTTTGAATACTAAGTCTGATAAACAGAAGAGATGGACTGTCTTCAAATTCCTCTTGTGGTTTTCCTTGAGATATCTGGCACCTTACTTTTGGAATCCAAGTGGCTAGATTTGAAAGATTCCAATCAATTTGAGCTATTTTTATGTTTCTTAAAAGCATAATCTAAAATCTCCTGAACTAAATTTCGCTTCATCAAGTGGTCTCAACCAAGTTATTGTCCATCCTCCACTCACAGCTGAACAAGGAGAAAATAATGCCACCTTGATTCAAAGACTATTGTAAAAATTAACAAGATAAATGTACAATAAACACTTTGAATGCCCATAGCAACATATGCTAGGAGAGAGTAGCTATTGTCCCTTTTTCAACCCCCAAAGAAAGGGTATGGTGTTGTAGACTATGCACTGGCCTGTCTGCTGCAGGACGAAGCTCAGTGGGTAACTTTGGATCAACTGTGATCTCACATCAAAGAACTGTTAACTGAGACTGTAAGATAGGAAAGCAATACCCAAGAACTACTAGCCACAAGAGTTCCTACTACTACTTCAAACTGTACCTTTGAATGCCACATATATTAACTGAGCCCCTAAGAGCATGCTACAAATATAAACAGATACAGATTAGTTTCTGTCCAATCATTTTTGCATAACATCCCTTAGATTGACCTGAATTTCACAACCCATCCTCTCTATTACTGCAGATAATTTAATTACAGTAGGACATTTCAGTCCAAGCACAGTTTTTCGGGGGTTATGGGGGACACAGGCCAGAGGGGGCCAACTTTGGAGCAAGGAATGGTGTATTCGAACAGCAACATTAGGTACAATACACGCACAGATCCCTGATATCATTACATGACAAGCCTGTTTCAATGAACTCATCTTCCAGCCAATGTTGCTCCTTCGTAGAACGTAAAGGGAATGGCCTTGAAGAACAGAAGGTAGGCTGCCACCAAGGCCACAGTCAGATCAAAGAGGCCTGAACCCAGTTCAAGAAAGTAACTTAAGTAAACATCTCAGACAGGCCCCTTCCTAGTTCAAACAGAGATGAAGTGAGGGAGGGGAAGTACATTCAGGCTTGCAAGATTCTGTTACTATAGCTCAGTGTTTTTCAACCTTGCTTCGACCATGCTGACTGGGGAATTCTTAACACATCTTAAAGTTGCCAAGGTTAAAACATTACAATAAAAGTAGTCCTGACCTACACAGCATTGATTTCTCAGCCTGGTCCACCTGGTAGGGCTGATATCTTTCCTCCCCTGGCCTCTTCTCAAGGTCTCCATCCCCAAGTCCATGGGGTCTATTGACCGCATGTCCATTGTGAGAGACCCTTGGAACCTAAGACCAACTCCCCTCTGGACGCCATCCTAAACAACAAGGCGTCACTATACTACACAGACTATATTATCCTATACTAGGGAACTATAATGGTGGCAAAGCTATTTGCGTGGCTGGGGAGACATGGGTTCAAATCCCCGGGCGCTTCCCGTGATGCCTTGATCCGCTCCCCCTCCTTCAGCCCAACCTACCTCGCAGGGTTATTGTTGTGGGGATGAAAATCAAGGGGGGGCCATCCCACCCACCGGGGGTGGCCATGAGCTCCCAAAGGGAAGAGGAGGACGTTTTTCCAAAATACAACTGGCCAAGGCAAGGCCATCTGGAACGGTCCAGGTGCTCTGAAGATGGCTGCGGCCGATGGGAACCGGCTGGGGCTTATGGGGACTGTAATCCAGACCTACCCCAGAGGGATAGGTCTCTTCCCCGCTCCCCCAAATATTGAGTTGTGGTGAAGGTCGCCTCCCCCCACCTTCCCCTTCTTCTAGGACTTCCAGCTCCCCCTCGCTGGCCCCGCCCCTTCGGCTAGGCCCCGCCCATTTCCGGCCTCCCCTCACCTCGGATTGAAATCTTGAAACAGGCCCCTCAGGTTCATGGCGCTCCCCCCGCCCTCGCCGTTGCCGCCGCTCTGTCACAACGGCCACATCGCGGCTCCAGCCCGAAGCCCGCCCCGAAGCAACCGAGCTCCCGCCTCAGCTCCACCAACCGTCCGCCGCGTCCCCTTGACTCCGCGGCCGGCTTGCACTGCGCCTGCGCCGCCGCCGGACCGCGCACGCGCAGGCTCGAAGAGGCGGAGCCGGCCCCGCCCCGGTCTCTCCGCGTCGAGACTTTCCTTCCTTCCGCACCTTCTTGCTCCGCCCCCTCACGCTCGCTGAGGTGACGTAGGACGCAGTGAAGCCGTGCCCTGTACTGGGGGTGGCGGGCGGAAGTCTCTGCAGAGGTTGGGAAGTTCTAGGCGAGGGAAGATTTACGGCGGATTCGGATAGCGGCTAAAGACGTGTCTGGAGGGTTGCTATTTATTAGGGGCAGCAGTGGATCCATGCATTTTATTTATTGCAGAAGGGAGGCAAAGTAGAGGGTAAAAGAAAGAGGAATGATTTGCATGCTTTTGAGTTCCCGGATGAAAAGAAGGCTATAAATGCAGCAATGACAAAAATAGATAATTAGGCTGCAGAGCGTGGTGGGGGCAGACCCAGACGCCTGGCAGCGTCGGCGGAAAGACCCTGATCTGGTCTAATTCGAGTGAGTGGTTGCACTTGTGAACTGACTTTTCTCTGCTATGCAAGGTTTTAATGCCTGGGCGACTCAGAAACCAGTGATGAAGCCTGGCCACTTCATCTGCCCTTTAAATTCTGTTTTATTTTATGGCTCGCCCATGACAGCTATTGACGATCATTATTAGATTCTAGAAATGTCTCTTAACCAGCTGCTACTAACTGATTCTGGGCTGGGAGATGAAAGTCTTTGCCGGGCTTCTCGTCATGGACTGCAGTAAACGAGCTGGGGGTCCGTGGGAGGCTGTTCAGGGATGGGTTCCTCGTGACGAGAATTCAGTAGGACTAAAAATCCCACCGTAAATATTTTCTAGCAAAGGAATGACTTGGCATTCCTTTGCATACTTTCCCTAACTGCCTACCACTGGAGGTGATGCCTAAAGACACTGAGCCCTTTGCAAGGGCTCTGCCACGAGCTGTACTGGCACCAGAAACTGGGTGTAAAATAATCCGCCGAGTAATCCTCCAGAAGTAAACCTGCCACGTTCAGTGGGACAGACTCTCGTATGGTGTTATGTAGGATGCTTGCATTAATACTGTTATATATTCTATTGAGAGCCAGTTTGGGGAAGTGGTGAAGGCACCAGGCTAGAAACCAGGAAACGGTGAGTTCTGGTCCCACCTTGGGCATGGAAGCTGGCTGTGTGACCTTGGGCCAGTCCCTCTCTCTCAGCCCCAGGAAGAAGACAATGGCAACTTCTGAAAAACCGTGCCAAGAAAACTGCAGGGACTCAAAGGTGTCTACTAATAACAACAATTATTAGCCATTCTGGTTAATATCCTGATGTAACAAATAACTGACTTCCTGAGATGATGAATAAATTAACTCTGGCGAGGAAAACAGCCTTTCAAGCACTTGTAAACAGAAGTTTGTGAAATGTTTCCAATATTTACTTGGAATTCCAACTAGCTGGACAGATCAAAGCAGGGTTTAAGTTAAGAAACAATATTTGCACCGATTGAACAGAGATGGTAGACTCTCTAAGCTGGATCCCATAACAAATCTTAGGCATCTGTTCCTAGCTGTGATAGTGCCAAAATGATGAAATGTGTGTCATAACTTCATGATGTAAGCTCCGCCCTTGCCTACTTGCATTGTGACATCACATTTTGGCAAAGTGTGCACCGAGACATATTTCATTACTTGCCAACCCCCCATGCATCCTTGCGCTTATGGTCCTTTCCAGATGACCAGCATTTCCATTTTCCAAGTCTTCTGATTTCATTACACAGCAGGCTTGAACAGGCTATTTTGATTGCTTAAGCAAGCAGAAGGGTTTGAGGATGGACAAGTTGCCTTCTGTTGCCCATTTATAGCACTCACAGAGTATTAAAAACCATCCAGGACAATCCAGAGATTATGGGCTTATAGATCAAGCTGTAAAATAAAATTCAACATTATAAAAACTCATGAAAAAAACCTCAAATTCAAAGTAGCCCACTTCCAAGTAGATAGGAAGCAAAGCATGGATGTAAGTTCTCAAAAGCTTGTCTGAAAAGCCATGTTTTAATTATGTTAAGGAGTGCAGAGTCCTTGGTGCTCTCTGAACTTGGTTGTTTTCTTGCAGACGTTTCATTACCCAACTAGGTAGCGTCATCAGTGCTAGAAGGGAGTGGGGTTTACTCTCTGTTTATATACAGTAGCTTGCCCTGTCAGTGTTGGGGATGTGTGTGTTGCTTTCTCCTTGGTAGTTCCTTGATGAGGCTGTTGTTTACTGCTGGATTATTTGTCTGAGTGCTTTTTGAGTGCTTCCTGCCACAAAATGGAAAAAACTTGTATTGCCTGATTTTGGGCAATTGTCATCAGGGGGCCCCAAAAAGGGGATTTTTGAGATGAGCTTTCCTGAGGCTTCAACTTACCCATTCTAAGTCTGCTCTGGTGATTTCTGAGGCTCCAAGAAAGCCTTTCCTATCATCTGTTACCTAAGATCCTTATCAACTAGAGGGAATGCTCAGTGTAGGACTTTCTCCATGCAAAACATGCTCTTTTTTTCATTATGGTCTCTTCAGAAGATGCTGCAGGAAAACGCTTGGAGGAAACAAAGTGTTCCTTGGAATAATCATTTAAAAATCCTACGTTCGCCACCCAGAATCACAATTGCGATATATAAATTGATATCATAAATACATAGGAAAAAGAAACCAGAATTGGCCATCTTCCGGCAAAGCTTAGCTCAGTTACTTGGCCTGCCAATTTCCACCCAGTGTTATCCTGCTGTGACCTACAAATGTCCCAGAAATGCATTTAAAATATGTAATGCAAATAT